ACTATCGTGATTTTAAATATTTTTCCTGAGTAGTAAACAAAATGTACAATATACTCTTCATTTATACTGAAAGGATGTAAGTGTCTTATAGATTATATCCCTGTGGGGAAAATCTCTAGTTCTGAACTGGTGCACTTCTGGTACATTTAGACCCAGTACTGGTTCGCGATAAATCTCTTTTGCATGCATGCAACTGGCGAATTAAACATGGCGATGTCCTAGGAAGTGTCAATTGTCGCCCGCTGCATCCCGTTTTCGATAGTTCCGAACTAGTCCTAAATTCTATAGTTCCGAACCAGCTCTAAACTCGACAGACGAAAGAAAAAACGATCATGATTTTTCAATGTCTTGGTTCTTCCGTGTGTGCGATTTTAAGTTATTTTGGAAAAAATGTGTTCAATTTGACATTAAATTTGTTTGAATGATTGTACGTTTACATACCTTTAGCTGTAGCTGAGATTGTAGAGGTGCTCGCTGTTATTTCTTAGATTCCAGATGGTCCCAAGATGTTGAAATGTTAACACAAATTTTAGTTTTGTATTACCAAGCTATGAAAAAGCATCTGCGAAGCACAGAATAGAAGCGTATTTGAACGAAAAATCCGCCGAACACATATCTATGTAAAGTAAACAAGCCCCCCGCTGCATCCCTTATTCGATAGTTCCGAACTAGTCCTAAATTCGACAAATAAGATCTAGTTCGTTCTGCATCCCTTTTTCTATATTTCCGAACCATTTCTAAATTCGTCACTTTAGATATAGATTTCTAGTGAAAAAAACTGAAAAAAATTAGTTTTATAAAGGTACCACTTTTCGCCGATTTTGGACTGGTGGGGATCTACTTCCTATCGAACTAGAAATTTGGTTCACTAGTTCGCGGTTTCCCTGCGTACAAACGTCCGCAAAGTTTGCAGCTGAAAAGGCAACTAGGTTGGTTTTGCCGTGGGTTTTTTTAAGAGTTTGCGTGCTGTTGTTGTTTTCTTGATCTACTGCAGGCAGAAAAACCGGGAAGGTTTATTAAAACGGGTCATTTGTATATTCTACAGTGTTGCCGTTTTAGCCCTTTGGTGGCTAGATTTAGCTACCACATACTTTTTTTGGCCACATAAATTTAAAATTGCCCCTAGCCCTTTTTTTAGCCCTTTGGAGAATTTATTCATACTGGGCATGAAAAAGTTGTATACGCTTAATTCGATCTATTTTTTTTTGCATTTATGTACGAGATAAATTTTTATACTAAGAAAGACTGACATATACATATGTATTGTATGTTCCTTACGTTTTTATACATACATACTGTATAAGTGTTAGGGCTGTTTTTATACCCGAGCGCACTTGTGCACAAGGGTATATTAATTTTGTTCACATAACGGTTGTTTGTAACAGCCAAAACGAATCGAGATAGATAT